GCATGAAAGCATAAATAAATAAAATAAATAAATAAAATTTTTATAGACGGAGTTAAAGTCTCTATTTCGTAGACATTATGTTTACGTATCAATATCTCATCAATCATTACGCTAGCGCACGCGGATTAAGCACTGCAGTGGCGCTTTTTCTTTAGACTTGCTTAACGAAAATAAATATTCAAATAGCTAAGAAAACTAATGTTAAATAGCATATCGGTGCTATTCCTCATGAATCTGGCTATAATAGGTAAAAGTAATTTTTCAAATCGGATTGGTAGATTCACAGAATCACGTGATAAAACAAACAAAAAAAATACGGTAGGCCTTACCTTTATCCCTGCAACTTTCCGCTAATTTCAAATGCAAAGCGTTTCAAATTCCAACCGATTTTGAGGCAGTTGGCGGCAATCGATATAGTTTTTAAAGCTTAATAAAAAAACATTCTACAAAAAATTGATTTGATGGAAATTTTTCAAGTTATTTTGAAAAAACACTTATTAGACATTTCTTTTAACAACGATATCTCCCAAACGGTTCCACCAATTTCGATGCGGCAATCGACGTCCGTTTTTTGAGAGTATAAGAGCTGAATAGATTATTGAATTGGTCAAAACGAGGGTGCAAAATCATTCTAAAATAACACTTTTGAAAATTGATAAAACTCCAATCTTTGAAGTCTTTCCAGAATCTCCCGTGACAATTAATTCTAAATGCACATAATATGTAAATTCAGTGAGGCCCTTTTAGATGCCGTAAAATTTTCGATCGGACAATCCGTTGTAAAGTTATGAGATGGTTACGTATTTACACACACACGCGCGCGCGCTCGCCCGCAAGCATGCACGCACGCACGCACGTACACACTCACACACACACACACACACACACACACACACACACACACACACACACACACAACAACACACACACACACACACACACACACACACACACACACACACACACACACACACACACACACACACGCACACACACACACACACACACGCGCGGCCGGACGTAAAGCCCAGAATACTCGGAAAGCCTTCGTAGGACCTCAAAAAACTTCAAAACTATTAATTTTCAAAACGGGAAGATTAAAAAAACATATACAGTCAGATTATAATAAAGTTAATGGATAACTTATCTGATGATGTAAAAACTGCCCAAGGAGATACTTTTGTAAACCATTAAGTAAATTTAAAAATTTATTTCAGTATTTAAATTCTTTAAAAAACTACTACTCGTTCTGCTATAATAAGACAAATGGATTTTTAATCCAGAACGGAAAACTTCTGTTGACTGCAGCTTTGAGATAACTGAGCTTTTGCTTGAAGCATTATAATGCAGTATAAATTAAAGAAACTTCTTTGTGAAAGTCGATAAATGATATAAGTTATAAAACTAGTTTTACGGATTTTATAGCGTTTACTTTATTTTAATTCCCGACTATTTAAGTGCTTCAAAGCCCGGTTTCCCCGTGACCGTGGGTCAAATTTAGTTTTATTTTAATGTGTAGTATTCAGGGATGGAATATAATTGGTAGATAGACAGCAGCGTCTTCCTAATAACGAATTAAACTAATAAAACTGAGGTTGGGCAGCCGCTTGCCAAGCATGGCAACTTTAGTAAATAACCCCTATGAGACAATCTATGGGGGCGGCCTGTGTTCAACACTGGACTTTAATAGGATATAACGGTAACGATATGAGTAGTCAGAATATGACAAAAGACGAACCGCAATGCACAATGGTGAAGTAGTCTCCACGTTGATGTGTGTTAGTTAAATTTGCGTCGTTTTTTAAACAAAACAATGCACTTTTTATTGATTAAATTTGTGATGACGCTGAATGACAGGGTAAGAAATTATGTGGTAGAAAAAAAAGTTTGCAAAAAGATGTGACGAGAATTAAAAAAGGAATGCTCGGTCGTTTGCACACATAGAGAAAATGAAAGAGAAAATAGCGGTTGGCGGCGTTCTGAAGATCTCAATGTTGAATAGAATTAATGATAATATAAACTGATTCGGACGAGTACATTTTGAGAAATATCAAAAATAAATATTTTGAAAAACTGTTTCTTTTTGGATAACTTTTAACCGGCTTTACCGATCAATTTCAAAACTATCAGCTCTTAACATCAAAAAATGGCGTTGAATGCCGTTTGGAAAATAAAAATCGGTTCATTCGTTCGTGAGATATCGAAGGAGAAAGAAATTGAAAAAAATGTTTTTTAACTTAGCTTCGAGATTTCGCAACATAATTTGGTGAAATTTGGAGCTCTTTGCACTTTAAATTAGCGGGAAGTTCCAGGGATGCACTGCAGGGTCAACTATTTTTTTTATTTGGTGGATTACACGTGTCCATCGGCTGAAATAGCCACTTACGTTATGTCAATTTTTAGCTTTTTTATTACTTCAATTTTATTATATCACAATATTATATCATATCACACTGCAATATTATATCACACTACGGAAGCTCGTGATATTATATAAAGTTACAGCCTATATACGTCCCACTGCTGGGCTCAGGCCTCCCCCTCATTTCTGAGAGGGTTTAGGGCAAGGAAGTGTCCGCCGCGCTGCCCAAATGCGTGTTGACGAACTTCACATGTCTTCGAAATATTTTTTTCTTATTCCTCAGACATGCAAGTTTCCTCACGATGTTTTCCTTCACCGCCGAGCACGTGATATATCAGCACTTAAAATTGCAATTAACAATTTCATTGGTGCCGGCGGGGATCGAACCCGGGTTACTCGCGTTCTGTTATATTTACAGCGAGCGTTAACCACTGAGCTACCACGGCTCATGGCGTGATATTATATGTGAACTTAGATTTGCTAAGATTCTTATGAATAAAAAGGTGTGTCCGAGCTATCGCACAGACGAAAAACATACCGTACGTAGTATACGTAGTATGTTTTTCATAGCATAGTGGTGTTGGGTATTTGTAGTAATATGAGTGGCTAGTACGCACACGCAATCGTGGGATCATTTTATTTTACACGCGGATCTTAGCTAAGTAATTTTTATGATAGGTGATCACCTTATTTACTATTATATTAGGTCCTAAGACTACTATCCAGACCTAACTAGGTCCACTACTGAATATAGTCTTTTCCCATATTAATTAAATGGTCTAAACTGTATATATATTATTCCTATATATATTATTCCTGTTACGGCTTGAATGTTTCGCAAAGCGCTTCGTTGGTGATTTTGGGAACCGGAGAAAAACCAGACCAAGGGCTGGCTAACCCGATGATCCCAACCGGGAAGTCAATGAAAATGGTTTTAGAACTGGGTAGATAAGGCAAGGATACCCACAGGACTGGAGCACTCCTCGTGGTTATATCGGAGTCTAAAATATTTATGTTGAAGTTCTAGTGTATACATAGATACCACACTGCACTTCGAATGTATATGGACACGAGCAATTGCACGATAGTCTTACAACTTTATTTATTGAGTAAATTTAAACGAGCGGTAACGAACACGATTTATGCGTACGCGGCCATCTTGTTTTTTCTTATTCTTAGGCCCAGGCAATAGATTTTAAAAATCCCCACATAATAACAATCCCCAAATAATCTACAATTAATTTTAAATTCCCCACATGTTGGCAACGCTAAACAGGTGTAAATTGCGAAGCGACACGAGTCGGCTGAGAGGCGGCAGTGTGTGTGTGAAAGGGAAGGAAGAGTGAGCGTGAATACAGTAAAACCTATTGCATTGTTTCTCACGAAGCCAGATAAAAAGAGTTTAGCGTCCGCGCGTTTTTGACCCCATAATCGGCTGATTTCAGGTTTAATTTTCACTGCTGTTTTATGTTTGTGTATTTTCATATTGTTTTTATGAAATTATCGTTTCATTTAGCTGCACTAACATGATGTAGCGTGAATAAAGCTAATTGAACGTTGTAAATTTTTTTTTCACCAGGATCAATTTTTTTTCTTCCCATCATCAAAGGGTTCCTTAGTACTTTGTGTATCGTAAGGAAGAGTAGAGTGAGCGTCAATACAGTAATACCTATTGCATTGTTTCGCACCAAGCCAGATAAAAGAGTTCGGCGTCCGCGCGTTTTTTGACCCCACAATCAGCTGATTTCAGTTTTAACTTTCACTGCTGGTTTATGTTTGGGTATTTTCATATTTTTTACGAAATTATCGTTTCATTTAGCTGTACTAACATGATGTAGCGTCAATAAAGCTAATTAATCGTTGTAAAAAAAATTCACCGGGATCGATTTTCTTTTCATCCCATCATCTTAAGTTTTCTTAGTACTATCGTCTGTGTCATTTGACATATTTGTTACTCGATTGTGTCATTTGAAGCTTGCGGGACGCGCATCTCGAGTGGGGTGAGGAAACAGTTAGTGTTGCGCGGGAGGCGGGGGCTTGCTGTGCTGTACGCGTACAGCAAGCGCCTAGTCGGCCGTAATCTTTGGAGGGCTGAGGCCACGCCGGTAGGGGTCGCGAAATTAGACTAGAACATTCGATTACATGTCGATGCGACACCCGGGTCCACTAGAGGTCGTGAGTTTTATAAGAATTACGTCGAATAAGACAGCCTCCATGGTGTTGTATTTTGTCGTTAACATACGTGACAACGAGGCTTATTCTTGAGTTTATTTGCGCGACACCGGGTCGATTATACGTCGCGAGCCTCTTACCGTGTTATCTTTATTTTTTTTCATGATAACGAGGCTGGAATATTATAATTATTGTTACAACCGTTTTAAGTATTGTTTGTGACTGGTATACGGTTGCGGGCGGCCGGTGTTTTGATTGAAGGCCTAAAATCTGATTTAATTTTGCCCGCCATTTTGAATTTACTATTGAATATTTGAGTCTAGTCTAGACCGTCTCGAATTTAGTTGTCTGTTTTGAACGTGTTACGTGACAAGAGGCCTAATTTGAGTTTAGAGTGATTAAAGGATTAACTACTTTATAATCCACCCATTATAGCCCATTAAAGTTCTACTGTTAAACACAGGCCTTACTCACTAGTTGCCTCTAACTGATAACCAAGGCAATTTACTGAAATATTAAAATATTGAAATAACCTAAACCGTAGTCATTGGTCATATTAAGGTGTGATGATGAAATGATTGTATTGGCTTCGATTCATATTTCTGCAAAAATTCCTAATATTCAGACCTCTGAAAGTAGGTGAAAACTGAAATATAAAATTCATTTACGTTCATAGATAAATACATATCTATATACAGAATATGATATTCTGTGATGATCTTATTAAGAATACTAAATCAAACTCATACATTTTTAACTTCACCACTTCTTTGCCGTCTGCAAAATTTCAAATAAATCCAGAATTCCATTACATTGTTACGAATAACCTACTGCCTCGTTGGTCTAGTAATGTATTTAATCATCATGTATGTAAACGTGGTTGCTGATCATGAGGTCCCAAGTTAGAAAGCCGGTTCGTGGCATAATCAGATTTTCTGTCAATAAATTCTCAGTAACAGTCTGGAGTCAGGAAGTTGATAGTGTTTCGCTCCCGTGTATCAAAATCACGTAAAGCACTTGATATCTCTTGCTTGTGTCTTATTAACTTCCCGCCGGACTACAAGTATGAGAGTAAGGAGAGTGAAACAATGGATGAGCATACACTCGGTTCTGCGCAGATGTTTAGTCTCCACTGAGACTGGCTGCCGTGACTGAAATGCGGTCTGGAAGAAATTAAAAATAACCTAATAAAATGCGTAGAGATCAAGCTAATAAAAAAGTATATTATACTCTTAGAATTTTTTTGTCATCGTATTTAGACAGTGGAAAAAAATGTATTTCAGCTTTTTTAGATTTGGCGAAAGCATTCGACAAAGTATCAATAAAAATACTGGAAAATGTCGGTATCAGAGGCACTCAACTCAAATTATTTAAAAGTTATCTTTCTGAGAGATATCAATGCGTTAGTGTGAATAATATTACCAGCAATGATTTACTAGTAACACACGGCGTACCATAAGGGAGTATACTCGGCCCAACCTTATTTCTAATTTATTTTGATAATTTTACAAGATTTGATCTCTCTCAGGGACATATAATTTCATATGCAGATGACGCTGTTTTGATATTTGCTGCGGATACGTGGAAAGACGTATTCTCGTCCGCAAAAATAGGTATAAATGCAGTTACTAATTGGCTTTACAGTAATAAACTTTCAATCAATATTACGAAAACAAAAATATAGTTTATTCATTAAGAAAACCTTTTCGCAAATTTGAAAATTTTAACTTAGTGATTCATTCATATGATTGCTTAACAAGAGATAACAGCTGTTCCTGCCTTTCACTTGAGTCTGTTGAATATATTAAATATCTAGGGGTTATAATAGATAGTAATTTAAATTTTAAACTACATATTAACACACTTAGCAAAAGAATTCATAAATTAATATATATTTTTAAAACTATTAGATACGTTTTGGATCCAGATATATTAAAACGAGTTTACTTAGCTTTATGTCAGTCTATTAAAACATACTGCATATCAACGTGGGGTGGTGCCTCTAAACCGTTGCTACAAAGGATAGAAATCTCTCAACGTGCTATATTCAAAGTTGCAACATTTAAAACTTTTCTTTATCCTACATCACAGCTTTATGCTAACTGTCAAGTCCTTAAAGTAAGACAACTGTTTATATTAACGATCATTCAGAAACAACATAGCTTATTGTTATACAACCGAACGAACTTAAACAAACGCAGGAATTTTTCCGTAGATACAACTAATTTTAAAACAATTTTTATGAGAAAATTCTTTGCATTTTTGGGACCACACTTATATAATAAATTAAATAAAACATTAGACATTTTCCACCTTAATAAAATAAATTGTAAAAAAAACTGTACATAATTACCTACAAACATTAACTTATAACGAAACTGAAAAGCTTCTTAGTATTCAGACTTAAACATAAATTCTTACATAACTCAAACTACCCGTATAAAATCATAATAACCGGACATACACACGTAGCAAAAAAAAAAAAAAAAAAAAAAAAATTTACATGCTCCTCTTCCATAACTGCTCATACACATTACACTCATAACACAATTACTTCTTACAGACATACATTCATACATCACATCTCATGAGAGAGGAACGACATTAGTAGTATAAATTATTATCTTGTTTGTACCTTGGTATAAGTAATAAGTGGTAACATAGTATATAAACATAATATGTGATCCAATTATTTCATTTTAACTTTAACTTTTGCTTGCATCCTAATATTTTTATAAATTAACGGTGGGGATATGGCGCTGACAGCTGATTCACAGGTCTCATAGTTCGGCTGCAGATGCTATTTTTTCAGGTATATGTACAACCTCTTGGAAATAAAGAACTTATTATTATTATTATTATTGGGGGGTATCTATATAGTTTTCTCATCTGGTTGGGATCTATAAATATATAATTATAAATGAAAATGAAAAGATAAATATATACATAAATATCAATAAAATAATATAAATACAAAAATACATAAATAAATAAAAGCCCAACCAGATGTAAGCCCTCGGCAGGGGAGACCAAACGGCCGAGGGTTAGGGGGAAAGGGAAAGAAACCGGCGGACGATGCGGGCAGTATCAAGGAGCGCCACCTTCTGCATTTGAGCCCGGAGCGGTCCGTCACGGTGTCCCAGTCGCCTCAGATGACCAGAGAGCCTAACTGGGATTAGCCCATTCGCAGAGACGACTACAGGAATAATTTCGATCGGCAGACCACCACACATGTCGGTCACCTCGTGAGCCAGGTCCAGATATTTTGATTGCTTATCTGTTTCTGCTTTCACGAGGTTCTCGTCATACGGGATGGTAATATCGACCAAAAATATCCTTGACTGTGCCCGGTCCATCAGCACAATATCAGGCTTATTCGCAAGAATAGTCCTGTCTGTGATGATGGACCGGTCCCAGTAGAGCCTGGCGCGGTCATTTTCGAGCACGGCTTCCGGCAATTACTCGTAATACGGCAATTTCCGGTCCACGAGACCGTATTTCAGAGCGAGCTCTTGGTGTAGAATTCTGGCTACTAGGTTGTCCCTGTGCAAGTACTCAGAGTTAGAAAGCGCCGAACGACCGGAGATGACATACCTAAGCGACTCACTGGGATAGCGACAAGCTCTACAGACGTCGACGGTGCCATCCTTTAGGATGTATCTCCGATAGTTGTTGGTCTTAATAACCTGATCCTGTATTACACAGACAAAACCCTCGGTTTCCCCGAAGAGGTCACCGAAACGTAGCCAGTTGAGGGAGACGACTGTATCTACGAAGGGCTCATGAAGAGCCCTGTAGTACCTCCCGTGGAGCTCCTTCTCCTTCCATACGGTCTTCCGGTCGGAAATGCTAAGCACTACTGGGTCCTGCCATTGCTCGAGGGCTAAGGATAGAGGGGTAAGCCCTTTATCACTAGAAATGACGTCATTATAGAATGGATCATCCGATCTCGCCAGGAAGTAATCACGGAGGCTGCACACTTCGCGATTATGTATTTACTTTCGCGGCAAGTACAGCCTCATTACCGACGATCTCGGATGATGCATCCTATGGGATGTCATGGTAGTGCGGACTTTTCTATGCAGGGCGTTAAGTTCGGTCTGAGTCCACCTGAGTATGCCAAAGGTATATATGAGGACAGGCATGACCCAACCGTTATATGCGTGTGTCTTATTCACACCGGACAAAAGGATGTTAAGCACTTTGGTCAAGCGTGCATAAAACACGTCGCAAACTGACTGTTTCATACCAGCCTCATCAATACCGATGTTCTGTGACATACCCAGGTATCGGTATGTTTCAACCTCGGAAAGGGTCTTTAAGTTGACGGGTATAGATAAATCCATGCCCTCAGAGTTAGCAACCATTCCCCTTTCAACATGAAGGACCGCACACTTTTCCGTCCCCAGCTCCATTCCAATAGAACTGCTAAATTCACAAGTGATGTTTAGCAGTTCTACAAGATGGGAGCGACTGGAGGCGAATAACTAGAGGTCATCCATATAGAAAAGGTGGGTCACTTTTGTTCCTCCCTTCCGTAGCTGAAATCCTCTCCCGGAGCCCTCCAGTAAGGTACTGAGAGGGTTCAGAGAGAGGCAGAACCAGATTGGACTCAGACAATCGCCCTGGAAGATACCCCTTCTTATCCTTATGTGGTTCTCCGCAGCCATCATCCGCTCGCCCAACGATAACAGAGGATCGTACTTCACTGCCCCATACATTGCTTGAGGAAGTCTCTAACTGTACAGTCAATCTTGTACAGCTCGAAGACCCTCTTTAGCCATGTATGGGGCACCGAGTCGAATGCCTTTCTGTAGTCTATCCAGGCGGCGGAGAAGTTCCGGTGGTTGCGTTTCACCACTTTGCCAATGACCGCGTCAATGAGGAGTGGTTCCTTGGTTCCACGACTACCGCCCCGACATCCATTTTGAGCGCGTGACATCACCTGATTTAGCTCCAGGTGACGAGTGATTCTCGCGCTCAAAATGGATGTCATTGCCTTATATATAGTGGGTAGATACGTGATGGAGCGGTATTTTCTCGGGTCTATGGTATCTTGATCTTTAGGAACCAAGTGAGTGATCCCAGTTGTGAAGAGGCTCGGGAGCGACTTCTGATCGAGAGCCTCCTGATACTGTCGGGCGAGCACAGCGTGACACACTACGAACCCCTTCAGCCCGTAATGATGCAGCCCGTCGAGCCCCGGACTTTTCCAGTCCGGAGCCCTACGGACCGCCTCAGCCACGTCTTCAGGCGTTATGGTGACGGGGTCCATAGGCGTAACACTTGCACTCTGGCTCGCCACAACTTCCATCCAAGGGCCCTCGCTGTGGTTTACGAGCTCTGACCACAGGCCACGCCAAAATGCGATAGTGTCAGCCTGATCCGGTCCTGGGCCTGCTCCACATACTTCTGGTCGCTCCAATGATTTATAGAGCCTTGTGGCCGTGGAAGGAAAAGGGAGATCTCCCGCCGGGCAAGGTGTTCTGCCCGGGGAGCGGCTCACA